CCTTACCTGTTAACCTTACCTTGACATCGTTGCACTACTTGGAACATCGTGCTTAAAACTTACATTAATACCTACCCAGGCAAAACCGCGAGCAAGGAAGATAATTCGAAAAGAAAGAAAAGCTAATAAAACATGCGAAAGAAACTTCACCTTGCCCTACCCATCGATGGGAACCGTCCTAGCCCGGCCTACCAAACCTGTGCGAACCTGTGGTGATGAGGATCGTAGCTGCAGTCGGCTGAAGGATGACGCTGTACCTTGTCCCTACCGAGGAGTCGAGATCGAGACGTGAAGTGCTAGTCGACGAGAACGTGATGATCGATCGAAAGCCTAGAGGTAACATGTCGACAACCCTTACCATCCCGACCTGTAACGCAGTGTTGATTGGTCGAACGTCAAGAGCAGAACAAACTCGATCTTACCCTCAGAGCCGAGAAAGGGTGAGGCGAAGAAAGGGGAGGTAACCTTTGACAAACCCTTGCAGAAGATACGTGAGCCATCGAGCGGGCCTAGTATCTGCGGCGCTGGCTTCGGTCGTCGTAGCTGTCGCCTTCGTAGCCGCGCTTCCTCGAGCCGTCGTCTCGGCCTCCACCACCGTACCCACCGTCGCGGTCGCGGTATCGATCTCTGCTGCCGAGCGGTTCGTTGTTAGCGCCGCTGGATCCTCGGTCGTAGCCACCACCACCGCCGCGTCGGTCTTCGTATCGTCCTCCGCCTCCACCGCGGTCGCCTCCAAATCCACCTCCGCCTCCTCGGTCGCCGCCAAAGCCACCACCTCGTGGACCGCGAGGACCAGCTGGGGCGCCATCGGGAGGTCCATAGCCGTTGGACTGATAGCCGATACCTCCGCGACCACCACCGAAGTCACCTCGACCGCGGCCACCGAAACCTCCCCGTCCGCCGCCGAAGCCTCCTCGGTCACCCCCGAATCCGCCACCAAAGCCGCCACGGCCACCACCTCGTCCGCCGAAACCTCCACCGAAGCCACCGCCGCGGGCTCCGAAGCCACCAGGGCCAGCTGGAGGTCCTCCGAATTGGCTACCTCCTCCGCTTGGTCCGCGAGCAGAGGGGCCCTTGGTGTAGCCTCGTCCACCGAGACCGCCACCGAAGCGACGCGGGCGCCATCCAGAGACTGTGCGGCCGCGCTCGACATCAACGAGTACGCGTCGATCCTTGATCTTGATACCGTCTGTCTCCTTGTATGCAGCCTTCATGTCCTTTTCGCGCTCGAAGACGATAAAAGCATAGCCGCGCTTTCGCTTCTTGGGTGGCGCGTCGGCGGGTTGAGTTACGTCTTCGACGATCCGAATGCGCTCGATGGGACCGTAGCGGCCGAATTCGCGCTCGAGGTCATCGGAGGTGACGCCATAGGATAGGCGAGAAACGAAGAGCGTCTTGAAGGCGTCGCCCTGTACTTTGGGATCTTCGACGGGTTTGTCTAGATAATGTTAGTGAGTGATGCAAATAACAATTGCGCAAGTGATAGCGCAAGCGCGCGTGGTGATGTCGTACAATCCTTGACCCCTTCCGTAAGCAGATACTCCTGTTTCTCCTTCTTTTCAAGCTTCTTGCGATCGCGCTTCTGCAGCCAGCTGTCGGTGGGCACGTAGCCGTCGTTGTCTTTGTACTCCCTCAGCGCCTCCATGTACTGGCCAATGCCGCCAATCTTGGGCGTGCAGCGCTTCTCAGGCGCGTGGTCGGAAGGCTCGACCCATCGCAGCGGCGGCCGCGGGGCGAACAGGTTCAGCAGCATCGGGGGGAGTAGATGCGTCATGGTTGCGAGTTTGTTTCTGGAATGCGCTCCAGACGGCGATGTGGAATAGTTGGAATATGAGGAGTGGAGGGCGCGACGATGAAAGTCGATGTTTGGGAGTTGGGGCGTTCGAGGAAGCTGCGACGCGGAGTTCGCACTAGCGCAAACCTAGGCTGCGACCACCGCACGTGAGATCCGGGCCCGACTTTGGACTTTGAGATTGGTGAAAGCACCGCCCTCACCACCGCAATTGCCCGCCAACATGCCTCTCTCGGCTATTAAGACGGTCGCAAAGGCTCAGGTATGTTTTCGCGGGTTCATCTGTCCCGACATTTGTCATCCTGGATGCTAATCACGACCGCAGAACGGCGTAGGAGCCTTTGTCCTGCCGTGCAAGTCCATCACCTTCCACTACTGCAACTGGTGGGGGTCTTCGAAAGGCATGAACGCCTTCCTCAAATCCTCTCTCCCCGCCTTCGCCAAGCGCAACCCTCAGATCGAAATCTCCGTCAGCCCGCGGCCACGCCACCACCCCGTAATTATCGCAAACTACATCAACGGCGCTCAACGGTCAATATGTGTGAGAAACCTGCAAAATGAGGGTGTGAGGGAAAAGGCGGAGATGTTAAGGAACAGCACAGGAGAGAAGAACAGGAGGCTGGATGGACGACCAGTGAAGAGTCTGAACGAGAACGTTAGGGGCATCTGGAGTCCGTTCCACGGCAGCAAAATCAACATGTGAAGGATTGAAGGTGAAGGAAGACGAATATTACACGCGACGATATCCAGCGAGAATCATGGAAAGGCGTAGCGGCATATCGACCAGAGCTCTGCCTCTATGACATGAATGTTAAAGGACCCGACTTTTTTTTCGGCATGCCCAAGAGGATGTGAACGACATACACTGGCTGGGGAGTTCATAAACGCTGTACAAACAATGTATCAAAAACACAGGAATCACGAAACTTGCAGAGCCCAAAGCGATGATCTTCATGCACGTTCATTTTGCTGAATCTACATAGGTCCTAGCCAAGTCTTCTTTTATTTCATAAGATCATAACCATTAGCTGCCGAAGCACGCTCCAATCAACTATAGACGAGCATCGCTTCGAGGCATTCATGCCTGGTTGGCGTTGATGATGTCAACGAAGGCAGGCTTCAAGCTAGCACCGCCGACGAGGAAACCGTCAATGTCGGCCTGCTTGGCAAGCTCCGCGCAGTTCTTCTCTGAGACACTGCCACCGTACAGGATACGGGTCTTCTCGGCAGCCTCGGCAGAGACCTCCTTCTTGAGCCACTCACGGAGAGCGGCGTGGACTTCTTGTGCTTGCTCGGTGGTTGCGACCTTGCCGGTACCGATGGCCCTGTGACATGTTAGCCTGAGAAGTTATTTGAGGGTGAGGCTAGACGTACCAGATGGGCTCGTAGGCAACGACAATCTTGCTCCAGTCCTTGACCTTGTCCGCAACAGCCTTCAGCTGCTTGGTGACAACGTTGACGGTCTCACCCGCCTCGCGCTGCTCCAGGCTCTCGCCGCAGCAGAGGATTACACTGAGACCGTTGTCGATGGCAGTCTTTGTCTTGCTGGCAACGAAGTCGTCGGTCTCTTGCAGGATCTGGCGACGCTCAGAGTGACCAAGGATAGCCCAGGTGATGCCGCTGTCCTTGAGTTGTTGAGCCGAGATCTCGCCGGTGAAGGCACCGTTAGGCTTGTCGAAGACGTTTTGCGCCGCGACCTCAATGCCCTTGCGGAGGTGCTCGCGTGCGAGGAGGAGGTAGAGCGCTGGTGGTGCGATGACAACCTCTGTTTCTGATGTCAGTGTTCCGTCCTTTTCGTGGTGTGATGAAGTTCTGCGCTTCTCTCGAATCGCTGGAAAGGTGCTTCGACGTACCTGTGTTCTGGTCGAGCTGGGCCTTGTTGAGGTTTTCGACGAGCGACTTGATGGTCTGAATGTCGCCATTCCTTTAGACTTGTCAGCTTCTCTTCATCATCTCCAAGCACTCACAGCTTGTGAAAGTACCCACATCTTGTAGTTGCCGCCGACGAAGAATTGACGAGCCATGTTTGCGGTTGGATTGGTTGCGTTTGCGTGAAAAGATGTTATGTTAGGGTATAAGGGTGTGGGATTGTGATTGAGTGTTGTGAATGAGGAAGGCACGGAATGTTGTTGTTGTTGAGCAAGAGCAGCACGCACTTCTTACAGCTTAGTGGGGTGACGCGGGGCTAGTGACGTCTGAGGGCTCTGAGCTGTGCTGTACAGTAACAGCATCCGGCAAAACTCGGGCTTGAGCGAAGCATCGCTGAAAAACAATGGGGACGGTGATCCAATAGGAAATCTCTTCAGCGAATTGGCAAGTGTCGCGACGTTTCAATATACATCCTGTGGGACCAGATGCCAGGCAGCTACGGAAACCATGCCGTTGCACTGCGGCATTTACATCTAACCATGTATGCTTCATATCTATACGTGTCGAGAAGAAAAAGACGGGTTACAGTATCCATCACCTACTTGGTGTTTCCGACTGGATGAAGCGATGACGAAAGAGTGGGGTCACCCACTTGATCATCCCGCAGCGCTCCTTAGCTTTCAGCCTCACAGCCGGCCGAAATCCTCCACCTGCAAGGCCACTTAGCACCGCATTTAACCACACGATCACTGCCGGTACCCTAATGTCATCCGAAACGCAAGACTCTCCGACTGTCCACGGCTTGTCGGTCACATCGCTAACGCAATGCTCTCATTGGCATTCCCCGCTTGACATCATCGCCATCAAGCATTTCTGCTGCCAGAAGTTCTACGCATGTATTAGTTGCCACGATGCATGCGAGTCTCATGGGTCTAATATCTGGCCTTGCACACAAAGAGACGAACGCGCAGTGCTTTGCGGAAAGTGCAAACATGTGCTGACCGTTACCGAATACATGGACAGCGGAAGCAAATGCACACAATGCGGAAGCGCATTCAATCCTGGGTGTAAAAACCACTGGGAATTGTACTTCGACCTAAACAAGAAGCCGCAATGATACGCTGGAAGTCTGGTCACGAGCTGCGGATATTCCCAGGCAGCACTCCCAGCCGAAGCGTGATAACACCGTTGCATGCTGCGACCTGGATGTCTTCTGGCCACAGTTACTAGATCAACGTGTCTTTAGAACAATTCTCAGTGTATAAATCCCTGGCTCCTTCATAGTCTTCGAGCATTCACCTGGACACCCATCGACATCCCACATACGGGCGGAATCACAATGGCCTTCCATGAATCTTCAGCTTTGGTCCGCATGTTCATCGTCAAGAATATCAATATCCCGCCCTCTCCCACTGTACCGCCAGACCAGGATGCCGCTACCGAATCACAACGAATCAATCTATCCTTCATGGATCTACCACGAGAGCTCCGAGATATCGTATACGAGCTCTACCTCCCGGATACAGAATCCACATACGACGCAAAGACACACAAGTTTACCATCACCAACAAGGAAGCTGACGACATGTCGCTTGGCTTCACTTGCCATACCATCTTAGAGGAGCTACTTTGTCGCGCATTCGAAGTCAATCTAACTTTCCATGCTGCTTTCGTGCACACGCCACGCGAGAGTGACGATCAATGGGTCGATGACATTGGCCACATCTTACTTCACAAGGAGGATGTCGTGGATCAAATGGCCCGTAGGTTTCTAACGGAGGCCGGAGAGGAAGAGATAGCTACATGCTATCCACAGTTTCAGCCCATACTCTCTGCCTGGCGCTCGAACCGCGATGAAACATGGTTCTCCAAAGGCCATGACTGGGGAGAAGCTCCATCGATCTACCGCGACTTCATCCAGCACACATTGACTGTGCTCGCAAAGCATCCCGAGTTCGCGCACGACGACATAGAGTGGATGGACATCTTGCGGACACCATCAGGCGCTCAACTACCAGCTCGCAACCTCTTGGATCTTACCAATTTACAGTCCAAACTCTGGTCGATTCCTACGAACGGAGACTTCATGCATAACGTGTCTATCTCTGGATTTCCTACTGAGAATAGCGATTACCCCAATACCATTAGGTACCCATTCTCGGCCGCAGCTATCGCAATACGATTCCTCAACTTCCTGCCCCAGGGCCTGCGGAAGCAGATCCAACGTCTCCGCCTTGTTGAAAATCGAACTTCTATCGCGCATCCGGAGTGCCACATGCGAGGCTTGATACCATTCTGCATCGATATGCCAAAACTCCGTATTGAACGAGACGTCACCATCCCTACCCCTGGCTCAACGAGAGACGAGTATATGTGCGAGAAGGCAGACAGGAGGGCAAAAAGAAGCCTAAACGTAACCGGAGGATCTGGCCAAACTGGAGCCCACCTTCATTTCACGACTGGTTCACAGCTCATGTATTACCAGAAGCCCAGTCCGTGACGAAAGCTATCGCACCCTGGATCATAGAGGATGACGCCTTGGAATCGCTCGGCATGCCGCCCGGTGCATGCACTCTAGTATTCAAAGGAGACACAACTGTGTATCCCAAGCTCGCGCACAACACGTTCAATAACGTTGTACAACACGATGCCGCGTGGCAGATGGCCATGGACTTGACGTTCAAGCCCAAAGACTCGGAAGCTTCACAGATAGAGTGGTTTGCAAAGCGACGCTGTCGCGGTTACTTCTACGAAAAGTTTCCGGTTCTACTTCAGCAAATGACCGCCGGGAAAGGCCACATTAAGTGTGACTTCGATTTGGGGGTTGAACAAGACGCCTGGACTGTCGCCCAGAGCGTGCCACACCAGTCTTCTGTTCACTGGGATTGGCTCTGGCGCGATCATCAGCTGAACACAGATGATACGGCGTATTATCTGATGTTCAAGGTCCTGAACCCTAACCGCCCTGGGCCTCGCTGATTCAGTGGGACCTGGCGCTTGAGCAACATTTCCGAAGCCTTGATTTACTCCAAATCAATGATGCAGACGAGGAAACCCCATTGAGGGACCCATAGAACACGTTGTAGAATACATTCATTCGCCATAGATGCACCATTTCACATTCAATCATGATTCATGTCCCCTTATTTACTTATTTTCCCAACGTCAAAAACAGCCGGTCGCCAATATCGCCCAGCCCAGGCTTAATCATGCCCTTCTCATCAACCCCCTTATCGCACCCACCAACCCACACCTCAACACCCTCCTCCCATTCCCCGCACGCCTTCTGCAGCCCCTCTTCCGTCGCCAGAATAGCCACGACGATAATCCGCTTTACACCCCAGTCCTTCAGTGTATCAATAGCCGCCTGCGCTGTCGCACCCGTCGCAATGATGGGATCTACAATGATGGCCAGCTCTGGTTGGGGCTTGGTTGAGCCAGCTGTGTGCGGGGTGTGGTAGGGCAGGTTGTTGTAGTATTCTACGGGTTGTAAGGTGGACTTCTCGCGGTAGAGACCGAGGTGGTGGACGGGTACGGGCATGGGGAGCAGGGAGGAGAGCGCGGGGACCATGGAGAGGCCGGAGCGGAGGATGGGGACGAGGGATATGGAGGTCGGTGAGGGGGAGGTGGTGGTTGTGGTGTATTCGTAGCCGAGCGGGGATTTGTCCTGGAAGACGGCATGTTAGCAGGTGGTATGGTATGGTATAGCATTGCTGCTATGGTTGTTGGCTGGGTGATTTGGGGATATGGGAATCCTTCTATGAGTATATGTCGTGCATTACACCCCACTTTGTGACTTGATGTGACCGGGTGAATGTAAACGTGATGGAATGGGTGAACGTACGGTGCCTGCCTCTTGTGCCTTTAGGCCTGCGGCCAGAGCTTCATAGCCGACCATGAGAGCGAGTTCATGCACCAGGGTCTGCGCATCTTTGGACCCTGTGCTCGCGGATCGGAGCTGTGAGAGCTTCGCCTGGAGACATGGGTGTGTTGAGACGTGGGCGTTCTTGGGGAGGTTGATGCCAGACATGGTGGATTCGCAGTGTAATTACGTAGAGAAGATACAGTAGTATTGCAGGTCTTGGTATACTGGAATATATAGTCGGTGTTCAACTTGACACCTACTGTCCATTCAAGAAGGTGCATGAGACAAGCGCGTGGTCACGCCTAGCTCCCCACATGCCGGCGATAACAGATGCCATGGCGTCGGGCGCCTCCGTGACACGAAACCTTGTCACGCCTCGGCAGGTGCAGTGCCGCTAGACTGGGGAGCCCCTGCCAATCGGAGAAAAAGGAAGCGCGCGCCATTCGTCCCATTATTTGCATAAGCAAAGGTTACTGAGATTTGACCTTTTCTTATTTGGCGCAGGAGGGAGGAGAGACGCGAAGGAGGGCTGATATACGTGTGCTGCCTTATTCTCGGGCATCGCCACTTTTGTCCCGGCATCATAGAAAGCAGCATGGCGCGTTACTCCAAGTTGCACACGGCGTCTTGAGCTGAAATTATACACTACAAAGTTACGGGCGACTGCTCATCTTGGGACCCGCACGTCATTGCACATCGACGCTGCATGCACAAACGGGACCAGGACGGCAGCTATGGCCAACGCTGCACTCGACGACGACGATGTCCCCACCAAGCGCGAGTCGCATTTCAACAACCAGCGCTCGTCGCTGCGCTCTTCCACCCTCTCTGAAGAATCAGCGCACCGCCCGGAACCGCGATCGCGAACCCGCAGCGACCTGCGCCGGCTGCACGACTTCAACCTCGACCTCGAGAGAGTCCACTCGGAGCACGCGGATAGCGAGCCATTGCCCTCGCCTACCTCGACCGCCTCGCCCGCACCCAACGTGCCGTATACGCGACAGCGGAACCATTCGTACAGCAGCGTGAAGCGGTGGGACAAAAACGCCGGGAAGCACCGTTCGCTCAGCACAGTTTCCTCACGAGCCGGCGAGAGCAAGCACGACGACGACCTCCTAGGAGCAGACTCCTGGCTCCATCTCTACAACGACAACGCGCATTCGCCGAATCTTCCCACGCCATTGCGCACACCCAGAACGCGAGCACAGAGTAGGGCGTCGCAGAGAGAGAATGCGGGTGGTGGTAGTCCGGCATCTCAAACACATCCACACCGATCGAGAAGACCCTCTTTTCCACTCGGACGAGTAGCGCCCGGTGCTGCATCAGGGTCTCAGCTGGACATTACGGCCCTGCCCAGCATGTCGCCCGTTCAAGAAGACGGCCACGACCGCACCCACCACTACGACGATCACCACACAGACGCGGAGCACTACCTGCGCTCCAAGCGCACCCCTGGGCAGCAAAAAGCATCAAGATGTGCCACGGAGCTGTACACCATCTCCTACCTCATCTTCTTCTCCATATGGGGCACGCTAGCTCGTCTGGGTCTACAGGCCCTGACATTTTACCCCGGCGCGCCAGTCATCTTCTCTGAGCTCTGGGCCAATGTCGCAGGCACATTCATCATGGGCTTCCTATCCGAAGACCGCCGTCTCTTCGCTGCCGAATGGGGGAGTCGCAGTAATAGTAATGATGGCGAAGAGAAACTCCCCGAACCAACCGATTATCCTGCCAACGACATTGAACACTCGCAACACAAGGCGCGGCATGGGAAGATCAAGAAAACTATACCGATGTACATTGGTCTTGCAACAGGGTTTTGCGGCTCATTCACCAGTTTCTCGAGTTTCATGCGCGACATCTTCCTCGCGCTGTCGAATGATCTCAAAAGCCCTATAAATCATCCCTATCCTGCGGGTACACCTACGCCGTCTGTGACCACCACAGTCCCACGAAACGGCGGGTATTCCGTCATGGCCGTCCTAGCCACAATCATAATAACCATAGCGACATGTTACTGCGCTTTGCACATCGGCGCACATCTCGCTCTAGCCCTAGACCGCATCACACCCAGCCTACCCTTCCGCTTCACCCGCCGTTTCTGCGATCCCATCTTCGTTATCCTGGGCTGGGGCGTCTGGTTCGGCGCAATCATCATGGTGTGTCTGCCTCCCTCCTCAACATGGCGCTCCCAAGCCCTCTTCGCCTGCGTCTTCGCCCCCGCAGGCTGTCTCCTCCGCTACTACATATCCCTCTTCCTCAATCCCATTGCGCCGTCTTTCCCGCTCGGCACCTTCACCGTCAATATCTTCGGTACTGCGGTGTTGGGCATGGCATACGACCTCCAGCATGTGCCTCTCAGCAGTACAGGCCTGGTTGGAGGCAGTGTGGCGGGCTGTGCGGTTCTGCAAGGGATACAAGATGGCTTCTGTGGCTGTTTGACGACGGTTAGCACGTGGATTGTGGAGATTGATACGGCGAAGAGGAGGAGGAGTGCGTATGTTTATGCGGGTGCGAGTGTGGCGGCCGGACTGGGGTTGTTGGTTGTGGTTATGGGAAGTGTAAGGTGGACGGTGGGGTGGGAGGAGATGTTGTGTGTGACTTGAGGAAGGTGTTGAGATGTGTCTTGAACGGTGGTTCTCGTTTTATTGCATTTATGGGTTTGGATGGTTCGCCTGTTGTATGGGCATGATATGATGGGTCATGAGACGATAAACGGAGATCTCACTGGTTACACGATATATGATACGACAAACGGAGGATGACGATTTTTTGGCATTTACACTTATATACCCATGCAAGATAGAATCAACTTTATTTACATTTCTTAAGCGCGCCCTCCTCTTTCCACTTGGTTTATCTACTCGGCGACTTTTCGACTCTGCTCTCATACCAACTTCAAGTGTGAGTATGCATCCTCAGCGCCTCCACCAATGTGCACACCCAAAGTCCCCCTCGAAAACTTGAAGCCCGAGCGCAAAGCCTGGAAGATGCAACCTCAGCGCCTTGTCGAAACGGGCCTCCGGTAAACGCCACTGATCACTAGCTTGAACCAAGTTTCACGAGTGGTAGATGTCTCTTTTGTTTCCAGAGCTTATCGGCATTTGCTTGCATGAGTGTGTTGTTACTTGGGCATGCTGTAGCTGTACGGTTACAATTGTCGTGATTAACACTTCGACCTGCATCTTGACCGTGACAAATCTTGTTAGAAGTATTAGATGATAGCAGGGTCGCACAGAGTGCTCAACCGGGTCTAGCCCGTTTTCCTGATCGGTGCTTGCCATATGTACTGGCTGGGAAAGAAGTACAGCCTGATCATGACATCATCTTACCTGCGCTGCCCGCTTGATAAGGCTACACTTGGAAACAGCGCTTACCTACGCTGAGCTCTCTTTCACTTCGCTTCCAACGACTGTTTGGTGAGATCATCTTCAAACGAACGCATCTATCACGCATTCACCTTCTCTTCACTTTCTGGCCGCATGCCTGCCTTCTGATAGATTTCTGGACGGGCGGCTGAACCAATGAGCAATCCTCCGGAATATGACTCCCTTTGTGAGCGCTGTAGCCTTCTCAGCTTCGACGATGCTGCCATTGGGGGTTATGAAGTAATTGGCGAAGATAGCGTTGCGCGACTTCACTTTCCGGAATCGAGAATCGAATGTCGCCCTTTGAACTGGCTTGAGCATCGTGAGCTCTACCCTGATGGGCCTTGGTATCGACTTATCCGCCTCGGTTGGGAGCTCGACGACAACCTGCCTGATATGCCACGATTAGCTCGTTCCTCTGAGCTCGGCTGTGGATTTTGTCGAGCCCTGCGCAGGTTCCTAGTAGAGGCGATCCCGAAAGAGACGAAAATTTCTCCGGCAGACGATGGTCCACTGAAATTAGTTGCATATCTTTCGCTGGTTGACGAAGATATAGAAGGGCTAGTGGTAGAAGCGTCTTTCAAAACGGTAAACTGGATCAGTGATATCAAGGCTATGTTTCCATTCGAGGCAGATCCCGGTAAGTCACACCATCCAATTAAAGCTTGGGTTATGTAGACTAAATGTTAGCACATAGCTTGTCGCGATTGGCTGAGAGCTCAACCTGTGCGAGACAGTTCATACCTTACTTCCACAAACATTCAGAAGATGCATCAATTGCTTGATCATTGCACATCAACGTGCCACCCTGATACCCCATCTCAATTCATGCCTACAAGGCTCATAGACATCGGCCATGACGTATCAGCCATTCCTCGCTTGGTTTTATCCTCGAACATAGGACACTCTCAGCAAATAAGATACGCTGCCTTGAGCTACTGCTGGGGTAGTGAGAAGGATGCCAAATCACAGCTCAAGACTGAGAAAGCATCTCTGGAAAGCAGATTTGCAGGTCTACCTAGCGAGCTCCTGAAACCAATCACCAATGATGCCATTGCGCTTACAAGGGCACTCAATCTTCGCTATCTATGGATAGACGCTCTCTGCATCATACAAGATGATAATGATGACTGGTTGCACGAATCCTCCCAGATGAATCTGGTGTATCGACACGCATTCGTCACTTTCTGCAATCTCAATTCGAATTCATGTCACGAAAGCTTCCTCGATCGAGCCCCTGCGGTGAGGATTCCCTTCCAATCAACGATACGGAAAGCTACCAAGGGTTTTTACCTGATCCGGCTACAATCAGGACCAAAAGAATTCATGAAGTACGGAAGTTACACTTGGGACGTGGGACTATCAAAGTGGAATAGAAGATGCTGGACGTTTCAGGAAAAAGAGATGTCTACTCGTCTGCTGCTTTTCGGGAGCTTGAGAATGCATTTTACTTGTGCTAGAAGCCAATGGTCTGAAGGAGATGAAGCTCCCAGTGACAGGAATCGGTCTATGGCAGGAGTCTCGGACATGATCACCAGGTTCAGGGCCGAGCATATCTCCTCTAGGGAACTGCATGAGTATTGGGACTGGCTAGTTTTCCAATATGGTCATCGCTCGGTGACTTTCGACAAAGACCGCCTTCCTGCCATCGCTGGGCTTGCTCGCATCATAGGTGAAACGCTGCAAGATCAATATCTGGCCGGACTCTGGAAAGGTGATTTACACCACGGATTGATCTGGTACAGTCAAGGGGACATGCTGTCGCGCGGTCTTGAAGCTCACATACGCAATATGCGCGAACGGAATTACGTTGCACCTTCATGGTCTTGGGCAACGTGCCCATATGTGATAACTGTCAAAGACCGGGGTGCACGTATAGTTGAAGAGTCGACCATAGTAGACGTCAACACTGATACTCATTCCGAGGACCCATATGGACGGGTTTCTGGGGGGTTTCTCCGCATCCGCGGGAAAATAGCTCGGATGCCGAGCTGGTTACCGAAAGACAATTTCTACTGGTCATATGATTGGTATCACTTCTTCAAAGACACTTGCGGTTGTAGTATTCACGTGGCCACAGACTGGCTCCACAAAGAGTATGAAGCAGAACTAGAGAAACTTGTTGTCATGCTTCTCTGCCGCATTGAGAACGATGACGGAGCAAAAGCACCAAGTCTATGGGCTTTGCTACTTCATCCTGCAGATGAATCGCAAAATTACTATCGAGTGGGGGTGGTAGAGTCTACAGGAACCGAAGCGTACAGAGAGGTGAGAAGCTGGTTTGAGGAGAGCCAAGAAGAGACCATATGTATCATCTGACATGAAGGAACTCTAGAACCAAATTAGTTGTAGTCAAACACTTCTCATCCACTCGTTTTCCTCGTCTCCGCCTCCGCCTCCGCCTCCTCCTCTTATCCCTTCCTCATCTTTGCCCTCCTCTAAACATCCCTGTCCACCACGCTCCCCACATACTGACTTCCACCATAACTATGCATCCTACGCGCCTCATCAAACCGAACACGTTGTCTACGCTGCTGATCAAGCGAGTTACTATAGCAGACCTCCGGGATAACTCCATGCTCTGCCTCGTGCGAGGATGATATGAAGGAAGAGATATAGCTATCCGGTATAGTGAGGCGAATAACCGGCACGGTCGGAGCCTGCGGCGTAGTAACTGCGTGAGTCCTTGCCTTGTCCGTGGAGGCGTCTTCGACAACCGGATCTACCGCCGCACCAGATCGATTGTCATCCCCAGCTTCCAAACCATCTTCCAAAATAATCCCATTCCCCACAAACCCCCTCCCGATCAAACCCGATTCCCGTACTCCTATCGCCACCTCTCCTGTACCTTCGTCTTCACCTTCTCCACCTCCATCTTCCTGCTCATACACCTCCCCTCCCCCTCCTCCCCTCCACTCCGCTCCTCGATCCACATCACCTGCACGGCTACGACGCTGGGGATCAGCCATAACACGCGATCTTCTGACTTGGTGGTAGTAGTGCCGTTGGTGACGTGGTTGTTGTGGTTGCAGATAGTAGGCGATGAGGGCGAGGATGGAGAGTATGAGGGCTGTTGCTATGACGGGTTCGATCATTGGGTTTGGGATGTTGGAGTGTTGGGTTGGGGAAGGATGGTGGGGAGGTAGGAGACTTTAGAGAGGTTTGTATGGATTAAAGGATGAAGGGATCAGTGAACATAGAAGCGTTCGTGCGGTGATTTGACTGGGATGTCAATATTGTGACGAGGCCTTCGCTGATTAGATACGTGAACATGTAGGGAGTAGAAAGACTTCCGTGATTCTAATTCGATGTGCACTTACGACTGCAGTTGTAGCATGAATGTGTATGGACATTCCATGCTGCAGCATCATCTCATTCTCCTACTCACCTTTTACCAAGGAAGGGCTAAACAGACCTGCAGCCTGCATCAACAAAACAAAAATGCAACTTAGGTCACCCAACATCGATGTAGGCTCTAGGCCTTTTCAGCCTCATTCTTGTACGAGGTGCTCCCCCTCCTCCAAATCCCTAACCCACCTCCCCACCCCATCCCCCTTCCACCCAACCACATCCTTCTTCAAAGCCCTCTCCACAGCCTCCGTAACCTCATCATTCAACTGTCCCGTATAACAATCCCTACTCACAATCTCCGTCAACGTCCTACACGCACTCTTCGCGCCCCCCATCTTCCCCTTTCTAAAGAACTCAAAATCAGCAATCTGTTTGTATCCCATGCGCCACTCAGACCAAAAGTCTGAAGACTGTGCTTTTCGCCGCTTACTCGCGTCGCTGAGGAGGTCGCTTTCGGGGCCGGGGGCGAGCTGGAAGGTGGCGCTGGTGATGGACGGGATCATGTGCATGCCGCATAGTACGGGCGTGAGACCTGATAGCAGAGGGAAAACAGCGGTGAAGCTGAACGATGTGAAGTGGCGGCAGAATTCCGTTTTCTTGGCAAAGCTGGCAATACGGTAAAGGAGGAGTTCGAGGATGCGGGGCGGCACCATGAGATGGAATTCGTAGGTGCTGTATACCGTTATGGAAGAACCTTCGTTGTAGCCGAGGTGGTGCCAGGGTCTTTGTCGCAGGAGTTGGCAGCTAGAATACCGGGGTTCGCTATCCGGAGTCTTGTCAAGTGGAGGCTCTTTCTGGAGAAGCTCGATGTAGTGCATCTTCATCTCGAAAGCCCAGTTGTCGTTGGTGCCCACGGCAGAATCTACCAGTGCGGCCATGGTTTTTGG